TGCAGTTGCCAAAATAGGCTTTCTGGGGTTCATGATAATCCCTTTTGAAGTTGAGACTCCGATAGTTCCTGGGTCAGCAGTACAGGACAAGTCCGTTTGTCCGCCATGATTCTCAAACGTAGTTTCGGTGGCCAGCGCAAGAGCCCCCACATTTTCTGTGTCAGCTGACGGGGGCTGGCATTTAACATCCATTGTTGTCGTTTGAAGAACTGGCGCAGGAGCGGGACTTTCGTTGGTAGTGTTTGTCACCGTGTTTGTTGTAGCAGTATTCGTCGGTTGTGGCAGAATAGAATGTGTGAATGAGACTGAGGAGGCGGAGGAACTATTGTTGATTGATTGGCAGTAGTTACAACCATATGTCAGAGCCTGACCTTCAGCCTCGCGAGAGAGATGATGGCTACTCCTATCTACCTTTGTCATAGCTGAAGCCCGTGCTCCGGATGATTCAGTTTTCAGGTTACGTGTATTAGAGAAACAAGCAGCAGCGGTAACTGGATACACAGTAACTCCAGTGAGCCGGGGAAACATCTCTTCATAATTAGGCTGGCAAAAGTTTACGTGGATCGGCCAGTGTTTGGCATGGCAGTTAGCACTAGCGCAACATAAAAGAGCACATATTTAAACATTTAAATTATCGATACAAGGTACTTTTAAAACTTTAAATAAATAGATCGTATATATGAGAAAATGTGATGAGAAAATATCATTCCTACAAAGTCAATGTGATATTATATCTAGCTTCTTTGCAAAAATAAGAGGATACATATAATAGACAGAGGGAAAATTATTTAAGTTTTTAAGTATTAAATCTAGACTCAGGCATGATTTGAGTCAAATTCTCACCCCGGAGGATTTCCTGAAACTACAGAAGATGACAGACAAAATGGCGAAAAGGATATCGGACTTAATCATAAAAAGGCAACAGAAGAAGCTGAATAAATATGGAACCTAAGGCAGCCCAAAGTTCAACCATCTGGAAAAAATGAAGATATATGGGATGTAGTCTCGAAACTTAGCTTATAAACGAAAAAAATAAAGATGCCTCTAGGATGATGGGTCTTAAAGTCCAGACATGAAAAGGATAAAGTAGTGAATCTATCTTCGTTCCTCTTGCCTGAAAGCCACATAGATCCTCCAGAAGAAACTAAAGGTTTCACTTGGGAATGAAAGGAAGGCAATCAAGGACATTTTAGTGGAGGTGATAAATACCTTTGAAAAAATACCTGAAAAATTCAAAAGGCGAGCTGAAAATGGAGATCATCCCAACAATCTCGGCGCATCAAGAACCCACAAATAGGAACAATATAATCAAGATATATAGAGAATTTAACAGAATCAATCAAATAGTCCTACATGCCGATAAAGGAGGTGTCACAGTGGTGATGGATAGGAGTCAACGAATACATCAAAAAGAAGACGCTTGGAGCCATGACAACTGTTCAACAACAGGAAGAGACATTACCAAGGTGCGGCTCATAAGGAGCAAAGGGAAGTCAAGACATGGCGACTGCACTGAGAGGAGTTAGACGAAGAATTGACCAAAAGTTTACCCAAGGGGTTTACCTGTGAGATATAGAATATGAAATTAGAGGCTAAAGGTATAGGCGGACTAGATAGAGGTCACCAGTGTGTGTTGTGTGTAATTGTTGTATCTGCGTCGGAAGAGGAGGTGACTGATGACAGGCTTGACTATGGAGGGATGCCAACCAACACATACACAGGAACATCATTCCAGTATTCTAGGATTAGATGAGAATGCCAACTTAAAATACGAAAAGAGTGTGTTTTTCGCGATTCAAAGGAGAGAAAGGGTAGCGGTGAATTCTCATACCAATGGTTATGACTTAAGCCAGACAAAGAGCCCAAAAGAATGAAATACAATGTGGGTGGGGATGAGGGAGAGGATAATTGAGTAATTGGTGTGAAGGCTATGGAGAGGAAGATTTCCAGGCACTGACATCGAAATGGACATTGGCATCATATGATCTAAATCCTAGAAAATGGCGTAATTGAGGACGGGAATGGAAGGCTCTTAGGCATACTATTTCGTTTAAGGTGATGAAGGACTGGTAGTAGAATTTTCCC